TATTACATATCTGTATTTCCAAAGAGGCATATAGTGGCAGCCCTGTAAATAACAAACATCACATACGCATTAATGTATAACGTTGTATGGAGATGGAACAGCGTTGGACATTGATCATTTTATATATTATACCTTATACGGTCTCTTGCCAATTACCAGATACAAAGTACTGAATGAAACGGCGAAAACAGAAGTTTGTAACTGAATGGCACTACCCGCTCTCCAGGTCATAGTGCAAGGAAAGGCAATCTACAAATGATCATCGTATAAATCCTAAGTTTATAATGTAAAAATGTATCCTTTTCCACGTAGTGTAATTAAGAAAGAGCTTAATGTAGAAGATAATTAAGTTAAGTACTATTAAAACTTTTAACTGAATAAAGGACTGATTGAGAATCTAAACATACAAAATTTACGTTAGCAGATAAAAGAATTAAGGGTTTAATATATCTGAATAAGAAAACGAACCGAAAGTCACGGACCGCCTGTAAAACGGTTGACCGACTTGCCGTAAAGAACACCGAACAAGATGGCATATGAATAACTGATACTTTCCTTCAAATTCTGTAGTCTTAAAGGATGGTACACCAGAAACTTTAAAGAAATAAATAACAGTGATGATGTTCCTGTGGGTTATGGAGCTGTGTAGAATCGCAAGTAGATTCCAACGTTGAAAAAATAAAACATACTGTCTTTATTTTCGAGGCCATGAAGATGAAGAGAGTTTTTCAAAACGCTGGCATCTACTTGCGATTCTACACGGCGCCAAAACCAACAACAACAACAACATCTTCATCGCTGTGAAAACGTCACATCTCACAAAAAGTACGTGTATATATCCACTGATGTAGAAACACCACTTCTAGAATTTTACCTCAGAAACACAAAGCGTCATCATATTTGTAACACCTAAAATAATTCAACGCTAAATCTGTTGGTCTGTTTCCATTGGAAAGCTACCTAAATAACACATTTGAATCAGTGCTGTTAAGTTACCCAGGAATCATACCCACACACATTATATATCTTGCATACATAACGAGAGAAATACGACATATATTTAATATTTTGGGGCATGTGCAATGCTACAAAAATATTGTTCAAGAATCCAGTGCAAGAACTTAACATGAGATTATGCTAGAGCTATATACATGACATGTTAAGTCCCACGAGCACTGAATGGAGCTCTGTTCTGTTCTGTGCAGACGAATCCCCCTATTAGGCTAACCAATGAGTAAGCAGCCTTAAAGGGGACATGTTCCTTATTCGTATTCAGGACTCGTGACGCAACGTTGAATGTAGTTAACCGAACAATTACACTTTAGTGCAGTAAAAAGTGTATTAGCTTCTGTGACTGCTGAGATTCCATACGTGACTCAGTTGTCAAGCGTCTGAGCTGTCTCACTTTAAGTAATAAATTCGAGTACAGAAACTCTGCTCAGAACAGATTAGCATAACGTTATAATATTTGTGTTGTTTGTCTGGAATAGTATGTAACTTTATATATGTTGTTATGGAAATAAAAGTTTATTTAAAGCTTATAGGTCTGTAGTGTAGCTTGCCGGTGTTAGGTCCATTCCTGCCGTCACTTTTACACACTCAGATCAGAGTCCATTATCTTGAACTAACGTTTCAGCCCCATCAACAGGTTTAAATACAAGTTTTAAGCCCTTAACTTTCCCGATGCCACACATAATGATACAAATTGTAAGTTCTAGCGTTTTTTACATAATTATATGGCACATAGCGGGGTGGCTTTACTTTCTTACATTTAAATACCATCCTCAGAGTCTAACATCATTTAACTTTGATCGTTTTAATATAATTGTATTAAACATTATTTATTTATCAAGTGGCCGTTTCCTGTGTATCCGAACCAAAAGTGGTATGAGCTTTTGCTTTTCGTACCATCGTCTAATAATAACGACTCGAATAGTCTATTGGATGCCGTTAAATTATCTAGGATTTAGTAAAATACGCTCTTTGAAGCATTAGGGTTCACACTGTAGAGGCACGAGTGCTGCAGTGCTGATATCTTATTGGAAAGCGTTAAAGCTTGTGGTATTTTTGCAGGCTAAAGTTGCCTGCCGTGTAACAGCAGGGTGTTCGGACTCTATCCGGTGTGTTGGCGCGAACAGAGTGTTGAAATCAATATACGGTTCGTGCAGGCTACAGGCTGCAGCTCTAGCCAAAGCTAATGGATTTCTTTAATAACTTATATTTTGTATCACATTTCATCAAGTCAGATGGATCTAAATTATTAAGTGATTCTTTCATCTGT